AGCCTCCCAAAGGCGCGGGATTACAGGCTGAGCCACCGAGCCCGGCTTGAAATTCTTAATTGTAACAATGCAATTAAAAAAGGGATGAGCACATCTCGATGACTCAGCCCGTAATCCCTGCACTTTGGGAGACTGAGGCAAGTGGATTGCCTGAACCCGTGAGTTCGAGACCAAGCCGGGCAATTTGGTGAGATATTGTCTCTACAACAACTAGAAAATTAGCTGGGAGTGGTAGTATATGCCTGTAGTTCTGACTACTTGGAAGGCTGAGGCAGAAGGATTGCAGGAGACTAGTGGGTCGACACTGGGGTGGCCACGCGTGTGCCATTGCACCAACTCAAAAAAAGGGGGGGGCTATGAAAGATTCCAACAGCTACTTCACAAAAGAATACATATAAATGTTCATTAAGCACATAAAAAGTTGTTTTACATTATCTAGTCATCGAGGAAGTATAAATGAAAAACACAGTGTGATAACGACTACATACTCTTAAAATGGCTAAAATGTCAAAGACTGGCAACACCACAGGTTAGCAAGGATGCAGAATGATTGGGTCCCTCTTCCATTGTTGGAGGAAATGTAAAATGATACAACTTTAGAAGAGTTTGGCTGCCTATTTTTCTAAATTTTTACTTTTATGAACTGACAAATAATAATCGTATGTATTCATGGGTACACAGTGATTTTTCAATACATATAATGTATAGTGATCAGATCAGGATCATTAGCATATCCGTCATCTCAAACAGTTATCATTTCTTTGTGTTGGGAATATTCAATATCTTCCTTTTAGCTATTTCCATTATAAAACACATGATTATTAACTATAGTCATCCTACCGTGGCATAGAACACTAGAACATGTTCTTATAAAGGTCAGCATATGCTACTGATACATACAACAACATGGATGAATCTAAAAACCATCATACTGAGCAAAGGAGCCGGACACAAAGGAGTAAGTGTCTGGCTCCTTGGTGTATGATTCCAATTACTATAAAACTCTTAAGATGATGTCTATTCTACAGAGACAGAAAACAAATCTATGATTGCTTGGGGACAATGATTAGGCATGGGGAATGGGTAGAGGTGGAAGGTGGGTTTGACCAGGAAGGGAACATTTTATATCTTGCTCATGGTGGTAGTTAAACTAGGGTATAAATGTGCCAAAACCCCTCCATATGTACACTCAAAATAGGAACGCTTTATTGCATGTAAAGTATATTTCAGTAAGGTTTACTGATAAAATCCTCGATTTAACTGTTTTCTGGATTGAATGAGATTCTACCAAATGGTCTGCGGGGAGGCTGGCCCATTCTTAAGCAGGTTGATTTTCACAATGGAACCCCAGGACCCTTCACGAGGCACCGCACTCACCAGTCAGGGCTCCCCCTAGGCTCCCTCGTCGCAGCTGCCTCCCGTCCTCACTCAGCTGTCTTTTATACTTCAGTGATTTTCCAGGGCCAGAAGCCACATCTGGGTTGCTGCATTTCCGAAACGGCATGGGTGGAGGGGATAATATGTGGTCAAGCTGCGGACAGAAGAACAGCAGCGTCACTGGTGGGACACGCAACGTGGCCCAGACCGAAAGACCAACCACTCACGTTTTCCTCTTTTCTTTTCCTTCCCTAAACCCCTTTCTCCCAATCCTGTTTTTAATTTGGCTAGTTTAGAAAATTCAGGATTTCATTGTTGTGTCTTCTGCCTGACAGAGAGTCCGGCTTGCTGCAAAATCTCAACAGCGGCGTCATTCAAACTATGGATCACACCACGTAGAGGGTCATAAAAATCAAGTTTAGTAGATTGTGACCAGTATTTTTTAATGCAATAAAGTAGAAATTATCAGAGTTCAATAAAGAAAGGGAAAGTGTTGTCTCACGGAATTTTTAATTCAGTTACACATGTATGTGTGTGTGTGTGTATGTATCCTGGGTCACTACATAAAATATCTTTCTCTGTGGGTCATGGTCCATCCCAAGTGGAAAATATTTCTCTATAGAGAAGCAATACATCACTTCTTTAGTTGGTCGCAAAAGAAAATTCACATATTGTTCACAAATATACGTACGGGAGAGAAATTTCTAAGCACCATAGCCCTTAATGGAAATCAATACATCCCTACATCACTTTATAGCTTTTTTTTTTTTTTTAAAAGAAAAGCTGTCACAAGAATCAGAGAAACCAGTCACTTCAAGAGGCAGCTTTCTACAAAAGACTCCATTATGTCACAACGCTTATTTCAAGATCTGCTCTGCTTTTATAAGAAAACCACTCACACTTGGACCGTGCCATATCTTCTAAAATGTTTAACTTCAAGTAAGCACATATGAATACACAGGTGTCTAGATAGTTACTGAGGACGAAAGTCCAGGAAGTCATTAAGGAACCCCCCATTCCTGCAGATACTCATGGAAATTTCAACTGCCACATAAAAGGGCCAAATTTGTAGAAGTTTAAAAACAGAAAAGGCTTGGGTAACATTGCTCAAAGCCAGGCATTTTAAGGGATGTTTCCCTGAGATTTGATTTTACTTTCATGAGGAAAAAGAGGTGGTCACCTGGCTATACTTATCTGAATTTTTTCTTCTGATTAGAACTATCACGGATGTATTTATAAGAAAAAGGAGCTGGGCTCGGTGGCTCAGCCTGTAATCCCGGCGTTTTGGGAGGCTGAGGTGAGTGGATTGCCTGAGCTCGTGGGTTCGAGACCCGCCTGGGCAAGTTGGTGAGACCTCATCTCTACAAAAAATAAAAACATTAGCCAGGTATGGTAGCACGTGCCTGTAGCTCCAGTTACTTGGAAGGCTGAGGCAGAAGAATCGCCGGGGCCCAGCAGGTCGAGGCTGCGGTGGCCGCTCCCGGCCACTGCGGTCCAGTCTGGGTGACAGAGTGAGACTCTGACTCAAAAAAAAAAAAAAAAAAAAAGGAAAAGAAAAAGGAATTTGGAGACTTGGTCATGTATTTATCTGTCTATGCGCTGCAGCATATTCAAAATCACTGAACAAAAGAAACCTGACCCTGACAATGAGTAACCCCTCCCAAGTTAGTTGAGATAGAATAGACCTCATTGGCTCAGTTGCTAAAAGATGTCTAATAAATAAACTCAATTTTATTCCCCCAAAGTCAATTTTATTCATTAGTAACACCAAGCACTTCTCTGTAAGTACTATCTCCAACTCATGCCAGTCAGTACTTTAGAGGGGCACTTAAAGAACTAGAAGCCCTCCACCCAAGGATCAAAGCCGGATCAGTAGGGAAAAGGGATTCCAGGGTGCACTTTAAAATTTAAGGGAAAAAGAGAAACGCTTCCACATAAAGAGTTGTACTTATCAGAAGTTATTTGTTGAGGCTGCTTGCTCATTACATCAGTGTCCTACTTAGGAGGGCCTCTAACAATAAATTTCCATCTGGTCTCAGAGATTCTGCCCCTAAATCTTATGGGTAATGAATTGTACGGTTACACATTAGCTGCCAGACAAAGCAGACCCAATCACTGGTACATCTGTAGTCAGGTCAGTACACAACATTGAGGTTATTTTTGCCTCCTCCTTGGCTCCACTTTAAGCCCTTGCCCCAATTTTTTCTGCCAAATTTTTTTCTTCCTTTAAAAATTTTCAGGAAAATATTTGCAACTCTAGAAAAGTTGTATCAATAGCACAATAAATACCCACAATCCCTTTAACAGTGTTGAGTTGTTAACCTTCTGTCACACTGCTTTTGCTCTCTCTTTCCCTTTCTCTCCCTCTCTCTCTTCCTCTCTCTACACACACACACACACACACACACACACACACACACACAGTGTGCACACACACGCACATGCACACACACCTCTTAGTAGCAGACACTGTGACTCTTTGTCCCCAAATACTTCAACATGCCTCTTCTAAGAACAAGGGAGTTCTCTTATCCTGTATTCTACGTATTCTTGTAAGGGGTCTCAAGTCTTCTGTGACCCAGGTGAAGTATAAATAGTAGGAAAAATGTAAAATACATATTATGTAGACAACATTTAAAATTTGCTCTTTTACATTACAAGAAAAATTTGCAGCCACAAGGTGGCGGTGTGCCATAGACAGTCAACAGAATGCCGTTTAAAATAGCTACAAGTCCCAGGAAATGCACCAAGAACAGAGACCACCCCTCAAAGTAATTGAGCAAGTTAGGGCCCATTCTACTTAGTTATTTTCTCTTAATTACTAGTGACAGCTGCATAAAATATGAATATTTATAGTTTAAGGTTCATCAGCTTCTGCTACTTATTTTTCACCCGAAATTAAATTTATCAGCTGGTAGAATTACAATTAATTACTCGTGGAAAGACTTATATCATAAATTAACAGAGAATGGAAAAACAAACAGAGGAAAGAAGATAATTCCTATATAGAAATGGTGTGCTTTTTCTTACATATCTCCAACAAAGCCATAAAAGACACGAAAAAAATGTGGAAGAAAGAGAAAGAAATCAAAGAAAAAGTGGACCAAAAAAGAGAAAACTAAATCTATTTTGTCACACAGTACATACATATAGCCACAAGCTATTAGTCTATGAGCCAGGGTTTTTAATCAGAATCACAACCCCAAGAGGAGAGTATTATTTTAAATCTGGGAAAATTGAGGCAGTGAACTGTGAGGGCTACAAATGTTTCAAGCACACTATGAGCAGAAAACCTATAAGCAAAGTGCAATGTTCCAAGATCCCATTTCCTTCTTCACATCAAACCACAATCCCAACAGGGCTTTCTCTAAGTAGATCATTTTTCCAAATTTGCCCTGGTGTCAGTGGTTTTACTATTCTTTCTGCAATTAGTCAAAGCTTCTGAAAATGGTCCACTGCAACCCTGCAATTGATTTTTCATTTTTTTGTCCTGATTCAAACACGCGTGATCCGTTTAAAACATTTCATCACACCCTAGAGCTTATGGCAGACATCGAATGTGTCAGTTGGGACATGGTCCTCTAAATGATTCCAGTTTAATGTTTTCCAACTTTTCCAGACCCCCGAAGTCTTTATATACCACAAGGAGTTTAACTAAAAACAGAGTCTGTCTTGCAACTTTCACGGATGTTCAAAGGCATCTAGGCATGGACTTGTTACATGTGCTTCGAACACTGATTATTTCCCTCCACAGACAGTGGACTCCGGGCGACCCAGATCCTACTTCCTTGTCACCTAGCATGCTGCTAGCCACACAGTATCCTAGATTGAAACATATTCTCCAGAAATATATTCTTACCTCATTCATCAATAGCAAATACTGATTCACGGTGACTGGATCTGCTCAAGACTTCCCCTGTTAGTTTCCTCACAATGTCCTTTAGTTCCAAGAAGAGCCACAGACCTGGTTGAAGAGGTACGTCTGCATATTACTGAACGCAGAAGTCAGACAGAGGCCTGGCACACCACCGACAGGTGATGAGGGACAGCTGCTCTTGCTAGCAGCTCTCACAGGAAATACATAAACACCTCAACCAGGATAAGTGTGATGCAGAACTGGGGCAAAGTTTCCAAAATTATCAGGTCTACGAAAAGGCTCATCACCAGGATTCTACACCTGCATTTTCTACGTTTATCATCTCCACCCACTCTCTGGTGTTTTACAAATTATCAGGCTGATTTTTAAAAAAAGGATCCATCATGATTGCACATGGCTTCTGCCACATCAATGAAGATGGATCAAAAGTACATAATTAATACCAACATATTATATTCTTGAAAACTGCTGAGAGTAGCCATGAGTGTTCTCACCACAAAAAATGAAGTGTATGAGGTAATGCATATGCTAAATTAGCCCAATTTAGTCATTCTATAATGTATACCTATTTTAAAACATCATGTTATACATGATAAATATATATATATATATATATATATATATATATATATACTTTTTATTCATCAATTTAGAAAGCAAATTTTTTTTTTAAAGATTTATTTAAAGATGTGGGGTACAATTCAGGGTTAGGTATGCAAATGTTCATTATGCAGGCACCCTTGTGGATGAGGTGTGCCCCCCATTCCCTGGCAGTTTTCCGCTATCGCCAATCCCTTAGAAAGTAAATTTTTAAAAAGTAAAAGTAAAGGCATATCATTTACAAGGCTCAATCTCAGCTTTTTTTTAGTGTCTCTGCCATCATCACCCCCACCACTGTCTCCAAACACAGACCACAGGTTTCTTTTTCTATGGTTATGTCCCCTAGTAATACCATCCTCTAAAAAGGCATATTAAAACTGTCCATGAACATTGGACTTTCAGCCTCTTAACGGACCATTTTCTTCAGTCTCGTCTCCAGATACTTTTATGCCCAAGCATGAGTTCTCTAATTCATAACTTTTAAATATTAACAATGATCATATGAACAGAAAGAAAAATATCTTGTCAATTTTAGTAAATGGCAACTTCTTTTTTCTATCTACTCAGGTCACAAGCTTTACAATTATTCATTATTCTTCTTCATTCCATATCCAACTAGCAAATCCTCTAGCTCAGTCTCCGAAATACATCAAAGAATGCAATCCTGTCACCATTCC